ATTTGATGCACTTGTTATGCTAAACAAGGCAAATGTATTGTCCACAAGTAACAGTTTTGTGGATTAAATTTTTAACAGTGTGTTCTCATCCAAACATTTTGATGGTCACTTTGTAATGGCGATAAAATATATGTGAAAGTTGGTCGATTAAATTTCTTTAACAGCTTTCCACAGCGAAGTAAAATAATATTAACTATTTTGCATAACAAGGTAAAGCAAGTAGATAACGGTAATACTTTGATCATTCTTATGATAGGTCCATATCTTAGATAGATCCATTTTTCCATAAATGGTGCAGAATTTGAATAACAGCAAGCATGCTTGCATTTGTGAACAAAAGATTTCTATCATCAAATTGAATGTGACTGGTTAAGGTTTTCTGACATACACACATGTGTTACAAGTTGTTCATATCCTGTACATAATACAATCACTCTACCTGTAAGTAACTGATAAACTAAATCTCACCAGTTGGTGTCAGAGTAGATGACTTATTTCTTCAAGGCATTCTTGTGATTCAACCACTAATCACTTATCACTAATCATACCTGTAAACAGTGCGCGGTTTAGGTTTGGGGTAGTTGCAACATATGGCTCTGGGCTACTGGTACTGCTAGTTGTTGTGACCAAATCTGCACTGTGAACGCTAGTGCTGTCAATACCATCCAGGGACACCACAGGACTACCATCTGATCCTTTGCGCTGGTTTGCTTTCATAAGCATCTCTTCAATCTGGAAGCGAAACAAGATTACTTGGAATGGTTCCCGGGGGGGGGGGGGGTACTCCCTTATATGGGCTATTATAGGTATGTGCGGCCCCAAATAGTAGCGTTTTTCAGCTGTTTTGGTCATAAATAGGGTATCGATTTTGGTCACTTTGGTCTTAAATAGAGTATGGTTTTAGCACTCTAGTCTTGAATTGGGTATGTTTCTTAGAAGGAGCTACTTTTTCATCGTTATCAAAAAGACCATCAACAAAAGCCCTTCAAAACTTATGTTTAGCACAACTGTGCCAGCCGTAACGGTCATAAATAGGGTATCAAATTTTTGACCACGTCATTTAAAGGATAGCAAGAATCCAAATGTTGGTCATAAATAGGGTAAGGGTTTTGGGAAGTGGGCTGCACACGGGCCCCACCCAACATTTCTGGGAGTACCCCCCTCCACCCCCCTCCCCCCGGGGGAATGGTTACAATGTCTGCTGTAATGCCAATAAACCAAAAGTATTTTCTTTATGGTTTACAAGTATCAACTAGATGTAAAATTATAGTCTCACCAACAAAGTTTTGGAATATTTAATATTCAACTCAATTGCAAGTCAGAGCAAGAAAAAATTAATACCATTTTCAATAACAACTTTCCTGAGACCTTCAGCCAGTCAAACAATCTACATTTTATTTCCATGACTGAGCATAATTTGAAACACATATTTATTTAATAGCCAGTATTTCTTTCTATCATTAGCACTTTCATTAGCACCTTTGGAGAACTGAAGAGTCACAATAAATATATGTATCAAAGGTAGGTGCAGGGTATGACCAGAGGGTACAATGCATGACCAGTTCCCTAACAAAACTTGTAACAAACACTTTTTGCAAAATACATTTCTATTAAGGGTAAATTTCACAGATTGCATGATTGGTATTGGTTCCTCTCATTATCCAATAATGAGAAGCAAAAAATTCACAGTCTACATGTTCAATTCTCCTCAATGTTATAGCATGACATACTTACCCGCTTAAATTTTGAGAGAGACTGTTGAACTTCTTGCAGTTGTTGGTCCTTTTCTTTGCAGGCTGTAGTTAAGGCCTCAATTTCCATTTTTAGGTGGTTCACCTCTGAAGCTACATGTATGAAGAGTAGTATTAAAATACAACAAAATAATGTTGATGTCATTAGCTCAGCATGTCATTAGTGTATCAGCCAACTTATCGGTGGTGTGTTAGTGGTGTGTCCGTAGTGTGTCAGCTGACATGTTGG